TTACACCACACCAAAATATATTTCAGGATAACATTAAAGATATGGTCCACAGAAACTTAGCCATCAGAAATAATGACTGGAAGGTCTGGAAATTTCATCTACTTTCTGACCAGGGCTTTTAGATAAGCAGATGCTCTAAAATGGCTAGTGTTAAGGCCTACTCAAACTCCAGCTCATCCTGGACAGGAAATAGGAAGTATTACCTAGCCTGATGGAACTCACCAGCCAAAGCCTAGGATATTCTCAAATCTGGGATAGCGCTACTGAGCTTGCAGTTATCCCCACCTATGCTAACCTGGGAGACCACACTGACCTTCTAGTCGTCTCCCACCAATCCTACAGCTTTTTAGAATCCTTTCAGCTGATAGTTAAGTACGTGCTACTGCTGAACAGGAACATCTGGCATTCACTATAGGAGTTCAATTAGAAGGGAACATAAAGTAAGAATTCTGTATTTTTACGTACCAGATCACGGTACAATTGTATAGGATACACATCCAAGAGTTGTGTGCATTCTACATAAATTCTGTACAAGCCCTATGGATCTGGGCAACTGTCTAGAAAAGGAAGCCACCAGGAGCAAGTTTAAATTTTTCCACAAAACCAGCACTGAAGACAATTCATATGTACTCAGCTGAATACACGTGGTGGGAATCACATCAGGTAGCACGGTATGTAGGTGTCCGTCCAGGCAAGGTGGCATGGCCAAAGTATGTTTTAGTCTCCTCAGTCCTAAGCTTTAAGTCACTTATGTAATGTGGAAACTTATAAACGAGCCTTTTTTGAAAAGATATCCTTGTGCAACATATAATTCTTTTTTTCCACTAAGCTGATGAAAACCATTGGAGACTGCTTAGACTGTGTCTCTGCACCTTTGCCCTGGAAGTTCCTCACATGCTCTTCATTAGGTTTCAACAAAAACATTCTCAGAGAAAAGATATTTTTCAGAGATTCTGTAAGTACTAGAATTTATGAGGTCTCTTCTGCACCTAAAGTACAACTTCAAAATTTTACTGGAGCTCTATGAACAGAGAGAGCTTGCTAAGAGAGCTAGGTAATAAAACATTAGCACTTGATTCAGTCTTCACCCTTCTAAAGACTTCTAAAATATTCTTAGGCCCAAGTTTTCCTTTCAGGTTAATTGGAAGTGATCTGGCTGTGCTTCAGGTCAGACAGGGAGAGTGGTGCACACGGCCAAGCCTTTTACCTCAGGATCTGAAATCTGGAGCTTTCAGGAAACTCAGAAATGAACAATCTCTGCAAAAGGAAGGAAAGCACTTGCCTGGCACCTTGCTGTACCGTGCAGGTGAGAACAACCCTACGGTGAGGGGAGGCTGTGGGACATGCTTAGCCCACCTGCTGGAAACATGTGCTGCAGGTGTGGAAGCACACACCTAATGCTGCTCACTGGTTACGCCTAAATGTCTCAGTCATTAATGGTACACTTCAGTGAAGTGTCCAGAGGCCCTGGGTGACTAGAAAACACGAGCAAACCTTATTCATCAATTCTGTCTCCTCCAGCGTTTCTTCCCAAATGATACTCGACCACCAGCAGATAAGAGAAAGCAGGAATCTGGGAAGCCTTAATGAGACAGAAAAGCTTCACTTTGCTGTGGATCACCTATTCCTTGGTTGCACAGAATCCTGTAGCTGCAGCTGGTGGCTTCCTATGGCCCAAAGAGCAAGGCAGAATGGGCAAGCAGTGAGGACTTGTTCCAGCAAGACCAGGAGCTGCATTCAGGGACACTAGTTTTAGGTGATGAAGAGAACTCCCAGCATTACATTTTTGCTGCACAATTACTTTCACTTTGCGCTCTGGTTGACTTGAGCATTGAGGAGAGATGAGCAAAGCTGATTAAGCAGCACACAGTACCACCACCCTTTCCCTCCCAGCTCCGCTGTTACAGTGCAATGCTCTATAAAAAGCACCAGGACTAACTATGGGAGCAGCAGTCTCCCTGCTTTTGCCACCAGATTTGTTTCAGTGCTGCCTCTCACTATACACTTGCACAAAGAACTGAACCAGGGTCCCAGGGCCCCATGGCCCCTGCAGCTCAAGCCAGAGCACATATTGCAGAACCCTGCCTCCCAGCTTCCCATGAATCTCTGCTCACGATGAAACCCCAGACAGCTGCAGAGGGCTGCAGTTATCTTCCAGAGAGGCTTTTAAACATAAACAGCAAGACCGAGCTGAATACTGGCCATACAGCACCAGCTCTACCAGCCCCACGGGCAGCACAATTAAAGGTGGGCTTATGCAGACTGCAGCCCAGGCAGAATAGGTTCCAGCCTTGAGGTCCTGCAAACCCGTGCCTTTGGATTCCCTGACTCTGGGAGATCACTGAACAGCACAGCTCCTTCTTTGTTTTGTCCATTTAAATGCCTATAAACCAAGTGCTTGTTCTTCCTTCTTTAAGGTCCTTTGTGGTTTCATGAAAACGCCGGATGCTGCAGAATGCTGAGGCATGAAAGGTTCCTCTCTTTATTTTGTCCACCCTGTTCAGCAGCCACACTAAAAAGAAACCACCAAATAAAGTGCTTGAAAATACCTGGCCCAACAGCTCCACTGATTGGAGAGCTCTCCAGTTATTCATAGACTGAACCAAGCCCATGAAAAGCTGAGCAAGTTTTCCAACTCTGCTCTTGCCAACACTCACAGAGGATGATCTGGAGAAGCCACCTTGCTGTCAGCTTCTCCCCCTAATCCAGGCCTTAGCAGCAAAGGGCACTCTGCCCACCAGGCTCCTGCTGTGTGGCCCTGTGGGAGGGGGGACACAATGCTGTGGGGCAAGGGCTGGAGCCGTGCAGCATAGCATCTCAGGCATGAGACAACGCATCACTGTGTGGAAGACATTTCCAACACTGCAAGCAGCTCTGTGGGTGAGGGTAAAAGCTTTTCATCGCTGAAACCTTAGGTTCCTGTTTACCAAACATTTGTTCACTCTTCGTACGTTTGAGTGAATAAGGAAATGAACCACAAGGCTGAGCACAAACGCCAAAACCTTGCTTAAGCATGTGTCATCTTCATACAACTTTCTGCGCCTCCTTGAAGGAGGAAAAACAAATCCCTCTCCTCAGATTTGTCACTTCACAGGAGGCTCTGCCACTTCCTGATTCAGCCCTGGCCACAGTTCATCTAAAGAAGCTTCCAAGCCTCCAGCTTTGTGTTTCCCAAGGCAGGAAACCTTCCTGCATCCTAGCGCTGTTTGTTATACCTGGCTTGATTTCCTCACCCATCCATCCCCCAAAAACTTCACACTCTTCTTCCTCGTCACAGAAGATCTTCTTAACTATCCCCTTATAGTAACTGAATGATCAGAACCAAGCAGACCATTTGAAATCAAGACAAAGCCATCTGTGCAAGCCTCGTGAAAATCTCCAAGACAGAAATCAGAGCCCTTGATTTTGTCACATGCTGCCCTGAAGTAGCTTGGCCACTCTCTGGTGGGGTTAGATAGTGGTGTGGAAACACAAGTCCTTTATGTGCATCCTCATCTGACCCATGCCTGTTCTTCCAGAGGCAGTGAGAACACTGGTATCCACCCCAGGCTGGGCCACAAGCTCTGGCAGAGTGATGCAGGTTCATGCGACATGCACATACCCTGTGTGGCCACACAAATGAAAGGCAGGGGAGATGGCCTTCATCCAGAAGCACTGTCTCTAGTTATGATATTTGTGTTGCTGCTCTTTCCCCAGTGAGTCTTCTCACTGCTGTCAGCAGGTTACCACTCCAGTCACTCACTCAGTGTCTGGCTCTCTCTGCTAGCACTCATCTATCTAGACTGAAGTCCTTTAGGTGCAGGGAGACCTCATGAGTTTCTGAAAGGGCATGTCTGCTTGTCCTGGGAACACTGCTTCTGTCATAGGCCTGCAGTTGAAATTTCTAATTTGGTCCAAAGCAATAAGCAAGGCTCTTCCCTCATGTATAAAGAAACACAGTTAAAATGTCACATACAGACAAAACCAGCACCCAGTCCATCTCTTCCCAGCACCGGGGACAGCAAACCAGTGCTGTGATGGCGCTGCAGCACAGCAGTGACAATTTACCCACTGTTTGTGCTATCTGGTTTTGCGGGCAGGATCTTCCACAAGGCAGCTAGTATTGTCCCAAGCATCTTCCTACAACTTTATCACAAGCATGCCCTAGTACTAAAAGTCATCTGGGTTGTCCACATCCACTTCCACGATGTCCCCCTCGCTGCAAGCGTGCCACTGCTCTGCATGCAGAAACCTCTACTCTGGATGAAAAACAGCTTGGTGGAATGCAGTGCCACAACAGAGCTGTCACAGTAATTTCCCTGGATCTACCCACAAACATCCAAGTGAAAAACACAATGGCAAGGCTGACACTGCTAGAGAATTGCACCTCAGTTCACACTAAATTTTCATCCTTGGCTTGTGCTGAAGGCCTTCAAAACCCTGAGGGCTCACTGGCACAGTCTCTGCCTCCTGTTTTATTTTAGAAGGTGTTGCCCTATAGAAGTATAAGGAACTTTATGAAGTATGTCACTAGCAGGTCACTTGGCTATGTAGACCAAACCCACTGTCCTATAGCCTCCTTTGCATTTTCATTAAATCTGAAATCATTTAATATTACATAACGCGAATAAAATGGCTTCAGAGACTTCTTGGCTAAATAATACTACTGAATTAAAAATACAGGACAGCCTGCCACTGGTCTTTGCAAGAAAAAAAAAAAAAACCACAACCAAAACTGGAACACCCGCAGGCTGGGTCTGGCTCCACAGAGACACATTTTCTGCAAAATGGCTGTGAGCTGAATAAGCATTCTGGGTATTAATATTCAAATCAGGGCACCCCATATGGCTTATGAAACACCTCTTCATGTGGATTAAAGACCTGCTCTCACAGCAGTGAGCTTCTCACTACAACTGGAGCCACCAGGCTCATGACCACAGCACACTTACTGGAGGCAAAAATGGGAAGGCTTTCCTTTGCATTAGCCTCCCTCACTAATTACTATGATTTCAGCCTCATACCTGCCTTCAGGATGACAGATCCCAGAAGTGTGAATCCAGACTTCAGCACTGCACAGCCAGCCTGCGAGACCTCTGGTTCAAGGTGAGGCTCCCACATGAGATTACTGTAGACTGCAGTGGTCTGAAAACAGCAATGGCTGTGCCCAAGTAAGGACAGCAGTGCCTTTCCAAGAGCCATGCCAGCTGACCTGGCTTGCACCCCTGTGCTGCTGTTTACTAACATTGACTGCTGTTCATTTCCCAGGTGCATCCTGCTGACCAGTTCAGTGTGCTGCCATCCGCCTAGCATTGCTAGCACCCCAGCAATGTTGCATGCATTATGCACCTGATTGCACTTGGAGAAGGAACTCAGTGAAGGGCAATGAATCAACTTTCTCAAGATATCTTAAGTGAAAGTCACATTTTCGCTTCTGATCAAACATAGTTAAAAGCACATGCGCACATATAGAAGTTTGACTTCATAACAGTTCCTTGTTGCAGTAAAGCATCATCTAACACTGCAGGGCAATGTCATCTGTCCATGTCCTGCTGCTGAAAATCAAATGCCTCACCACTGTGCTGCCACTCTATACACAAGAAACAATGCAGTGCACCCCCTGAATGCAGCTCTGACTTCACTCCAAATGGAAAGCAAAGGTTTTGGCCAGTTCCAGTGTATTCGCCCCTATTTTGAGAAAACACTTCCCTAAATGGGCCAAAAATGCCTCTCACAGCATGAGCTTTGAAGGATACGTTTATAAGGTAAGGCACATGCAAACAGGGTGACCAGCTGCTCTACTTTCAGAGGTGCTGTCCTAGTTCTCAGGAAGCCAATCTGCATTGCACCTCCCATAGAGGAGAGAGGCCAAATGTCCTACTTTCTGCTCTTGGTAGCCTATTTGTCATACCATGAGAAAGTGAGGTGTGTGATGGCACACACAAGAAGAAACCCTCTGCACTGTGTGCCTGCACAGAAGGCGAGCAGAGATTCAAAAGGCCCAGACCCTTCCAGGCTGTGTTTCAGGATCCTCCTGCTCCAGCTCAGTCTCTTGCTTTGCAGCTATGTCATGGTGCAGCAAGCACTAATAAAAAGAGGTCTCTGTGTCCTCTGATGTCACTCTGAAATCTCACCTTGTTAACACAGGCAGTGCACTGCTGTCTTAGCTGGTGCGAGCATGTTAGCAGTGTGCTCTGATTCAGTGAGACAACTACATTTACACTTCGGTCTGTGTCTGTTCAGCAGGGCAGCAGAGGACACTCCTGAAGCTGTTTATAACTCTATTAGGCATGCACTAAAACTTAAGCATGCATTTAAGTGCTTGACCAGACTTATGCTGATGAAAAAGCCTGGTATTCAGAGGACTAAGCTTTGAACCTAGCAGGTTTCTGACCATGAACTCCAGGAAAAAAAAAATAAAAATCTTTAAACACAAAGAGCTTATTCCAGAATGCTTGGCAAGCACATAGTCTGGCAATTGATATAATCTGTAAAGCTCCTGTGCCCAAGCAGGGGTAGAGCAGCTGCTTGAAAACCCAGGCCTCAGCAAGGTGATAGGTGAGCACGGCTCCTTTCTGCATTGTCAGCATTAAGTTTTAATCTGCCAGTGTGCACTAAGTTACAAGAGCAGCCCTAAATTGGAACCACTGCCTATTTTTCCTGCAGTGTTTTCTGTCAGACTCAGCTGCCCTCTGCTCCTCAGTAACACAGCTATGGCTGCAATAGGGAAGAGGCCTGAATGAGCTTCACAACTGCTTGGGTGACTTTAGCACCACAATTGCCATCACTTCTTTTGGAGGTGGATGGGGAACAAGACCTTGCACACCATCCTTCAGACATCCACAAAAACAACGGTACAAGAAGGTCAGAACTTGGGCTTCTCAGGGCCATGTCAGGTTTCACATAAGGCACACAGATTCCTCTTTCCCACAGTATCCGGTTCCCTCAGCATTAGTGATGATATTCACAGGTCCTTCTAGATTTTCTGAAGTCCAAACACTGTATAGCTGAGTTTCCTGATTTCATGCGAGTTTAATCTCAGCAGACAAAGCTGACCTGACAGATCAGATTTGGTCTTCTGCACCTTCAGTTTCACACCTCTGAGCTCACAAGCTGCTTTGCATTTCTCTCCACTCTGCGGTCTCAAACTTCGTAAACTTTGACCAGAGTTCTGATCATAGGGCGTAAGGGATTTTGGTGCAGAAACAAGAATTGGCCCTTCCTTGATTCAGAGCATCATCTCCGATTCCCAATAACAGTTACTCTCTCCTATTAAAAAAAAAAAATGAATGCACTTTCCAAGACAATGTATTGCCCTCTATATTTTGACATTTTGGTTTTAGTTGATGCATAATTAAACTTTAGAGAAAATGGAAGAACTTGAAAATAGAAAATGCTTACAATTAAAGGGGAAAAAAAAAACAAACAGCATCCAATATTGGGTGAGCTTTTGATGCTACCTCCATATGACAGCTTACCAAGAACCCCACATCAACATGTCGCTAGTACAGCGCATGCCCTGACTGGAGATGGGAACATGCAGGAGACAAAGTCCACTAGCAGAAGGACATTTTCAGGTCACTTTGCTGGCCCTCAGGCTGACTCTGCAACATGCCACGCACACCAGGTTTGTAGCACACCTGCAGCTTCCTCAAAGCATCTGCTGAGGCTTCTGATAAAATGACACATCTGGTGCTGGATTCCTGGCTCCTTTGGGAAGAAGAAAGCACCCCTAGAAATTCAGCCTCTACAGCTTTTGCTTTTGCTGTTTCTTTTGCACAGAACAATAATTTTTTTTTTTTTTTTTCTCCAATAGAAGCTGGATGCCAGCAGGGAAACAGCTGCTGGCTGCAGCAGGAGTTTGGGTTACAGACTGGAGAGAGGGACATGCAAGGCCAACCAAGAAGAGGGCATGGCCTCACCTGGCAGCCTGAGAGAAGGGACAGCCACTAGACAGCACCAGCCAGCAAAAGCTGCAGCCAGTGCCTGCGGCTCTGTGTTGGGACAGCAATGACTGGGGCTGTTACTTGCTTTAGAGGATGTATCTCTGGCACCTGGCATACAATGTGCTGCTGACTTCCCTTGTGATGATCCCTTAATTTCTTCTTCCCCTTCAGTGTTATTGTCCCAGTTTCCAAGAAACAGACAGAAGGATTTGCTCTTCTGGAGCAAGATAATTTCTCCCGAGAAAAGAAATGACTGGAGACAGACGCGGGAAATTCTTCACTTGTCTATTCTTATTTACAGCATAGTTCCTGTTATTACCTTGAACCAAAATAGCACAAGAGCAAGGCTGCGGCCAAGTTTCCTTCGCCTCTCCCTGGCAGCCTGTCAAAGCCAGCCCTGGCTGCTGCCTCCTCCTGCCCCCTCTCATGGAAGTGGGACTGAAGCAGTCCCACACCATGTCCCCTGATCAGCTCAGACCAAACAGCACTGACAATTCTCAGCGAGCCCATCTACACCTCAGGGTGCCAGCTGATAGAAGAAGGGAGACTGGTGCTGGTGGCAATGGGACTGTCCCAACAGGTGCAAGCTGCCCCTACAGTCCTCCCCAATACTGGTTGAGTTAAAACACCCAGAGTTCATATTCCCCAGCAGAAGCCAGCTGTTGTGACAGCCCTGCCAAAAAGTGATGCAGATTGTACTGACATACTAGAAAAGATAATGCAGAAAAAGTAAAGACATGCTGTCTCCACGGGTAAAAGCCCCCACAACAAGAGGCACTCAGGTTCCCAACAAGGTTACCCTAAATCCACGGGGGGAGTGGGGGAAGAGCAAGAAGCAATACCTGAGTTGTGAGTTAACATCTTTTGGATGGGGCAAAATCATAGGCCAGTTGCATATGCCTCTCCTTTAAGGAGTCACTGGTTGTTTTCACAGCAAGTCTGAGTTTTGGACATCGTCTTTAAAGCCATCGTGCTTCATCTTCAGAAAAAAAAAAAAAAAAAAAAAGCAAAGTCAACTGCTTCTCATTTCCTCCCCAGAAAGGACATACACGTATAACAAGCTTTTCAAAGCTCCTCCAGGAATTAAGCACCCAGCTCCTGTTGAGCATCAATGGGATGTGTGCACCCAAGTCCCTTGAGCTGCTCTGGAAATCTTGTCCTTTGATGTAATTTCAAAGGCTTCAAAGCTAAGCTTCATCTCTTTGAGATGGGAAGAACAGAAGGGGTGCTGGAGTCTTAAAGCAGCTCACTGCAAAACCCTCTGCTTGTCCTGCCAGGGTGTGGAGGATCCATGTGGGGCATGGAATGGCTCACACAAACATCACTCATGCTCATCCCTGCCCCACGGCCAGGAAGGGAGGCACAGTCAGCCTGCTCCTCTGCTCACAGTCAAGGGTAGGACTGGCTTCTCCAGGCTCTTTCCTTCCTGCACATCTCCCCAACCTCCTGTTCTCCCTGACACCAACCAGAAAACCCTCTCTGAAGCATTTCAGCTGCAGAGATAGGAAGCTGCTGCTACGAGCATCATGAAAATACACAGCTGGACAGGGTCTCTGCAAATCCTCCTTGTAAGGGAAAGAATTATCATCGTACCTTGTTGAGGATCAGAGAACCCAGCCTTCAGCCACTCTCTCTTATAAGGAGATGCTGGGTTTTAATACATGCAAACTGTAAAGTTTTTTCCTGTGATTATGGTATCCATAGCAGTGGATTCTCTGAAGTCTAGTAAGATGTGCTCATTTTCCTCAGTGTTACAACAGTGCACTTGAAGTCAGCCCTCAGTACCGTGAGTACCATATAAATCCACAGGGGAAAAGAAAAAAAAATAATCACTCTTCAACAGTTCCACTACTCACTGAGCACCTTTCTCCCTCCAAAACAGATCAGACAACCACAATGAAAAGTTGTGTTGTGCAGCTTGCCTGGGGATGGAAGAAACAGCTGGGAGCATATTAAAATGCACCAGTTTTAATTGCTATAAGAACTGCTAGAGGCTAAACCAGAACACCAAACACCGTCTCTTTTTCTCCCCCTGGAAATACTTGCTATTCATACTTATCTGACTTGAGATAGGCAAAAGTCACCCATGAGAAGCTCTGGACACCCCAAACACACAACTAGAGTCAGAACTGCCCCCAGCCAGGCGCAATGCTCTGCCTGTGGTGGAAAACCCACCCCAGGGACAGGCTCACAAAGGCTATCTGGAGTCCACCCCCTGAGCTACCCCCCCTTCCCACTCAGCTCCATGATGCCATTTTCGCAAAGCATAGAGCAGGTACCTGGTTCTGTTTCCAGCACTGTATCACTGCTGTGCTGATAAGGGTGATTTATTCTGATTACAGTACCCAGGCACTGTAGTCAAGCAGGCAGCCCTGATTCAGGGCAAAATAAGAACCAGTGAAGGTCACCTCCTCCCCATGAACTTGCAAGTCTGTGAGCGAGCTTGCACAAATACCTTGGAAATGTAAATACCATCCTACAACTCACTAACGACCTCCATGAATCAAGAGGGGCCCTTGTTTACCTTATGAAAACTTCCCAAAATAGCACAGCAAACAGAAGTGCTGCTTGTGCCTCCAGGGCCCATTAGAGCTTTGCTGTCCCTGTGGTCCCACTCTGTTTCCTCTCTTCCTGCTCCATCCCTCAGAGCCTGGGCTGCACCTCTCCAGCAACACCACCAGCTTCTAACGCTTCCCCACATTACAAAGAATGAGGGAAAAAGTCTGCATGAGAACCTCAGGGAAGCAGGGGCTGGTCCACACCACTGCTTTCCATTGCTTCCATGCAGTACATTCACATGGGGCACAGCTGCCACCACCTCCCAGATCAGGGACACTGGTGTCCCCCAGGTCAGGTCCAACGCTTCCCTCCAGCTGTGGGGTTCCGCCCTGATGCCACTACCCACCATGTTCTCCTGCAGCCCAGAAGTTCTTCTGGAGGCAATGGGAGAACTTGGGAAATCCTCCTGGAACAGACTGCTGAGGGAGGTGGTGGGGTCACCACCTTGGAGGTGTTCAAGAGAAAGGTAGATGTGGCACTGAGGGACATGGTCTAGAGCAGCCACAGCATGCACACGGGTTGGACTGGATCTGGGTTCTGCTTGTATACAGCTTCATGAAGCACAGCATCCTTCATGAGACAGGAGGAGAGCTGGCTGACATTTCTCAGCTGGCACTTGAAAATGAATTCAGCCAGAAGCTGTCTTCTGAAATCTTCTGGGTGGAATAAAATGATGCCATCTTCCCCCCTCCCCTTTTTTTTTGTAGAAAGTTCCTTTTTTTTTTTTTTTTTTTTAATTTTCTTATTCCTCCATTTCTTCAGCTCAAGAAAAAAAAAAAAAACAAACAAAAAACCACTAAAACTTTATAACCAGTATAGGGCAGTAAGTTTGGTTTTAGTGGTACTAACCATACCATAATATTTTACTCTGCATTACTTCTTTCTGTGAGAAGCCTGAACTGCTTTCAAACTTTTCAAGCAACACTAAGGCAAACAGGTACCATTTCTTAGACATCTTTTTAACTGAGGGATCTTAAACATGGCCAAAATCCAGGAGGGTGGAGGATGGTTTAGGTCACTGTGGGGACAAGCATAGGGGCAGAGAGTGGAGTCCAACATGGCCAGGGGGTAGCAGACAGCAAGGCAGTGGAGCTGCAGAGCACATACAGCAAGTACAGATGCCTCAGCACAGGCAGTGCAGAGGTGAGGCAGCCCCATGCCCTCCTCCCAAATCTTGCTCTGGAGGTTCACTCAGAGCTGCAGAAACTATAGGTGCGAGAAGCAAAGGAGGCCCAGAAGAAAAAGAAGCTGCAGCTCCAGAGGGTGGCAACCATAAAGGACTAATGAAAGGAACAGCACGCAGGTCTCTTGACATGCATCATAATGGCACACTGGCTGCATCCAGTATTCTGGGAGCAGAAATTTGCTGATTCAGCAGTGGGGCTTCTGGAGTGATGGCAGCTGAGTTTGTGCTAAGCCACTGTCAATTTATCCCTGTAACTGAACAGACACGTTGTTAGCAAGCTGTCACATCTCCAGCCTGACTAGTTATTTCTGAGGCATCCCATCCCTTCAGCTGTTTGCCACTGGCTCACACTCCCTCAGGTACAGACATTTTCCCTGTAGCAGAGCGCTCCCCTCCTCCTCTCCAGCCCAGCTGGCTGTGCAGCATCACATCACAGAAACCCTCACGCAGCACCAGAAGAAAACAGCTGGGGAAAGGTCGCCATGTCACAAGCCCTCCTCCACGCAGACTACAGACTGATACCATCAGTTCTCAGTATCTGGGGTACTGAGGGAGAAGAAGGAAAAATAAAAGAATATAAATATGTACAAATAAGCCTGATGGAATGCTGTGCTTTCATACCTTTTGGAAGAAAAAAAAAAAAAAAAATCAAGCTGGAGATGCAGTATGATGTTATAAACAAAAAAATCATTGTGCAGCATCCTTTATGTCTCTGAAAGAGTTTTGCCTTTTTCTTTTTTTAAAGCATAGCACATTTAATCTGCAACTCAGATAAGGCACCCACAGATAATCAAGAGGTGACTGTGAAAAATCTTTTTTTGAACGACAGCTTTAAAAGTTCACGCATATTTCTTATGACAAATCCCCTAATTATCACTTCCATCAGCAAATTGCTAACACATACGCTGGGCACCACTGAGCAGGAGGAAAAACCCAAGCAGGAAGCACCGCAGGCTGAACGCTGAGAAGATAAAAAGCCCGAATTCTAAGAAGCACTACAAAATGCAAGTGGTCAGCTCAGACAAGGATGGGATTTTTAACTTGACATCTAGACAACATAATGCCAGCAGTGCTGTATAACAGTTTACAGAAACAGCCCCAACACTTCTCTGTCACAACCTCAGGACAGCAGCAGCCAGGAAAGCAGCAGAGCAGCTCCTTCACAGCTCACCATCCACCATGCACAGCAAAACTTGGCCTATGTTCACCCTAGCAGCTCTTGTTTGCCCAGAGACATACATGAACACGGCCCTAGAGGAAAAACAAACCACATTTTCCAGCTCTCCCTTGACAAGAGGCCTGCTTTATGCACAGTGTGCAGGTAATGGTGGTGGCAGCTACTTCCCAGAAGTGGAAGTGACTTGCAGAGACTGTTCAGGTTTCAGTAGCACTCAGTCTAGCTTGTCATTAACCCACAGCCACTCACAAAATTCACATCCAGATCTGATGAGGACTTCAGATACACTCTCTATTGCAACACAGGGCTTGGCTGCTCCATCCATTACAAAAACACACATCTCCAAAACATGGTGTTTTACCCAAGACTGGATTTCTGGCTCTTCCTTGAATACAGTTCATTTATTTACTTGTAGGCTAGTCAGAGCATCTGTTTCAAAAAAGGATGGAAAGGCCCGTTCAGATCAGATATGATTCATCCTGACTCCTCTCTAGTTAAGGAAGAAGAAAGCATCACCTGGAACCCTCACCACCTTGTCATGCACTGGTAGCTGCAGTCAAGGCAGGAGAGGTAACAGCAGTAAAGCCCACCTAAACATCCAACCCCCTCTTCATCTCAGATCAAGTCCTGAGCAGATCACAGCTGTTAACACGAAGCCCTGCCAAGGCAGTTTCTCACTAGTAGTAGAGCCCAGTTTGGACACACGTCCCCAGAGTGCATCTCCAGTGGAGAAGCCCAGGGGCAGCCATCCAACCAGCACAGCCTGAGCTCACTCCTGGCCATGTGCCGATGATTCACCAAGGCTGAAGCTGCTCTCTGGGATTAGCCCCTTGGTCTGGCAGCTCTACACCAACACTAGCCATAGGTGCCCACACAGAAGTCCCAGTGGCCTGTGGAGCATGGGAAGCACTGGAGATGGACACCAGCCAACAGGAGAACATGGAGGAGTCAGATTACAGAGGCAATGCTAAAAACGCTATTTTTGTCCCTGTGTTTCATAAGGGAGGCTCAAACCCAAACATGGTGTTTTTCCTCCTCCTTGAGTCACTGGGATCAC